GGGGGTATACTAATAAGGTATATAAGTAGATCGTTTGTATTATAGCTGATAGTAAACGATTTGAATTCGGTACTGACTTATAATAAATGCAATATGAACGTTGTACGTATATACGTACGTACTGTATATAAAATCTCTTTATCTGTTTAACTTAAATGACATAAGATGTACTTTCCATATTAGTTTAATAGTCATGTTGAAGTCAACTAAAAAAGCATGATTCAAAGATTTTTTTGATTGAAAAGTAATTCGTGACCGTGTCATGTTTAATGTAATATGTTCTTTAGTTTTGTCTCGTCCCACCAACCTAATCTTCAACCTCTAGAAATTATATATATTCCCTTAAAAGTTTGTGTCGCAACTCAAAAAATACAGAACCTTATACCAGTATATTTTTTTAAAAAAAAAAAAAATTAGGATATTGAATTGAAAAGCTTTTTATTTCCTTTCAATACAATTATAATATTCGCATACTTAATTCCTAGTACACTATATTACAAGCTTTGTTACGGTTTGCTTTTTTTTTTTGTTAATCGATTATAATACAATATCTTTTTTTTTATTCATGATTGGTATCTTATTTTTTTAAATCAAAGTAAAAATTTCGTAATGGCACGGTATCAGAACAATCTAAAACAAGCAAATGTTAGAAAAAAAAAAAGAAGCTGGAGTGTTAGCGAAAAACTAGCAATTATTACTTATCTTGAAAAAAATCCCAATGCTAGTAAACGAAATACAGCAGAAAGATTTAATTTGCAACCAAAACAACTGCGTGAATGGATCAAAAAAAAAGAAGAATTAATACGTTCACCACAACATATTAGACGGTTAAATAATGGAGGACATGCAAAATATCCAATGTTAGAAACGGATCTTGTTTCTTGGATAAAATCCTTACGTGCAAGACAAAAGGTAGTGTCTCGTTATATGGTTAGAACAAAGGCTCAACAATTAGCCAAGCAAGCCCATTTTATTTCACTCTATCCGAAAATTGATGAATGTAAATGGAGTAATAAATGGTTAGATGGATTCATGAAACGTTATAGATTAAGCAACCGCCGTCGAACTACAGTAGCACAAAAATTACCTGCTGATATTGAGCAGCAAAAAAATGAATTTTTAAGTTTTGTGCTATATAGACGCATACAACATGACTATCCTCTTGCACTAATAGGTAATATGGATGAGACTCCGTTGTCTTTCGATTTGCCATCTAATTATACTATTGATGAAACTGGTGCCAAAACGGTCTCAATTCGCACAACAGGACATGAAAAGTCTAATTTTACTGTTGTACTTAGTTGTATGGCTGATGGAAAAAAATTGCCGCCAGTAATTATTTTCAAATTAGTGAATATACCACGACAAGACTTTCCACCTGGTGTTATTATTAGAACCAACCGTGAGGGATATATGAATTCAGATGAAATGATTTGGTGGATAGAAAATGTTTGGAATAAGCGTTCACTTTTGTCTGTTGATCCTCGTTCACTATTAGTTTTAGATTCATTTCGAGGTCACATTACGGATCCAGTCAAAACCCGATTTTGTGAAAAAAATACTAATATTGCTGTAATCCCAGGAGGACTAACTAGCAAGTTGCAACCATTGGACGTCTGCATAAATAAATCTTTTAAGGATAAGGTATTACTTTATTAATTTCAAATTAAAAGTTAAATTTAATAGATTGTAACTCTATTTTTAGTATCGCAAATTCTATAACGAATGGATGGCAAGTGAAATTTTAAGTCTAACTCCTGCTGGTCGTATCTGACGTCCTTCATACAGTACAGTAGCTAATTGGATAAAAATAGCATGGGATCAAGTTGATTCTGCACTTATTGTGCGGTCATTTAAGTGCTGTGGTGTCTCTGTCGCAAGAGATGGGTCAGAAAATTGTAAAGTTTTCGACTATGAATGGGTAAAGAATCCAGAAAGTCAACGCCGAAGTAATAATTATATATTCGAAAGTTTAGAAGAATCAAATAATAGTGAGAGCGTTCATGATTTAACTCAAGACACAGACAGTGATAATGAAGATGATGAAAGTGTTTGTGACCTAACTCAAGATATCGATTCGGACAAGGTTCAGACAACACTAGATGAATTTGATTGCGGTGAAGAGGTAGCTGATATTCAAGAAAGTGAGGAAGAAGAAAATGATGTGTATTATGAGAATGAATCAATCGAATATTCAAATGCTTGGGACTAACGCATCAAGAATCTGCTGAGATGGGATTTATAACCTTGGATCGTGCTATCAATATGGAATAAGAGATGAAAAGAATAAATAAGGCGTTCGAAAAAATGAATTAATCAAGTTGGGTACTGTTATCAATAAGAATTGAAAGGGTTAAATGTAAGACGTTTATCTGCAAATTTAGGTCATATCAAACTTTATATAACCAAGGTGGTCATAACGTATTAGTAAATTTTATAAGTCATAATGGGTCATAAGTCAATACTGAATATTCTAGATACTGTTAACGATTTAAAATAGAGATATAGAATAACACTGCAATAAATCAATATAATTCTTGATGCTTATTATTTTTTTTATTTTTTTTTATTTTTTATTTTGTTTTAAATATTTTTTTTTTAGATTTTTATTTATTTTATCAAAAAAAGTTACTGATCTATATATTAAAAAATTTAGTCTACTGTATTG